CCTAGTGCAATTTTCGCAAATGGTCGGAAATAAGTTCATTCAAAGGCTGGTATCCTGGTCTGTCCGAAATATCTTAGGTTTATGCTGTACGATAATTGTTACAACCCCAACGCGGTAATCGTTTCTAGTCGAAAGGAGATTTTGGGATCGTGGCTAACATTTCATGAGACAGGCCACCTACTATACATGAGTATCGTCGCGGAACACGATTAATCAATCAATACAAACGCTAATTAAGATGTGTGCGTGACTTCCTGTGTAACCTGGCTGCTTCCAGAAAATTTCCTCGCACGCGCTTATTTTTTAGGAAACTACATTTCTTCCAATTTTCACTCTTGAAAATGGGATGCATTTAGAATCCGAAAGCGCTTAAGTGAATTACTTGTTTTTGAGTGCACCTGCAGGAAGGATGATTAGACGGGCATGTGTTCTTATACCCAGGGGTAACGAAACACCCAAACACCAAAGTAGTCAGCTGTGTGGTCTAGAACGGACGGCTGAGTAAGACGTCCAGTGTTTCGGTTGCCACTAACATCTTCTACGACAGTGATTCTCACTTGGCCCTCCGCTGTAGGCAGGCCAAGTTTCTCAGGGGATCTTCACCAGGAGAGAAAGTGACGGGAACCAAATCACGTCTATTGGTGCAAAGAGATATGCTTCAGATCTCAGTATTCATTTATACCGAGGCGCGCCAATGACAACGAAAACTCTTCCAAAATAGAATTTTCGGAGTCCTAAAAGTGGAAGCGAAAGTCCGAGTTCCACGTGTATGCATAAGTGAAGAGGAGGGCCGGCCGAGCATCGGAACATCGGACCTCTTGCAGGAGTTCATCTTCAGTGACAATTATAGGGCGTTCTGGTCAATTACTGGTCGATGGTGCAAGACTGGAGTTAACTGCGCAGGGCTCTGTCTGCCTACACCAAATCAGAAGCCCAGAACAATAAAAAGACTGTTTTGTTGCTCGACCGGCCTTCTCCCTTCTCACAGTCCTAAAAGTGTCTGATTAAGAGAGGAGAACGAACTCCTTTCCGGCTGCATGCAAAAACTACACCCTGCGAAAAATGACTACATATGTAGCATGCATTTTTCACATTGATTTTCGATGCCCCCAAAAATTCAGTTATATTTGATGAAAAACATACACAAAAGTATCCATTCTTTTACTCATTCGGTAGAAAATTACGTCCTCTTCCAATTTTATGCCCAAAGGAAGGGTACAATTCGGTTTACAAAAACTTTTCCAATCCCCAAATAATTTTGAACCCGACCTGCCGTTACATCTGCATTCAGGGTTTCCAAACTACAAGCTGTATATTTTCCACGTACGGAAAACCATACATTTCTCTACGGTATCAAGGGGAGAATATATGGGGTTCATTAAACTTAGCAGTGGATTTGAAACACATTGCCAACTTTGCGAGCCACATTAGTAAATGCACAAACATGACGTTTTATGAACGGTTATTTCACGGTTTTTAAAAATCTCACAATCGGAAGCCTTTAAAAAACCGAATTATACCTTTCCCTCGAGTATGATATTGGAAGAAGACGTAATTTTCTACTGGATGGGCAAGAGAAAGAGCATTTTTATGCATGCTTTCCAAGAAATATAATTGAACTTTTTTGGACATCGAAAATCAATGAGAAAAATGCATAAAACATAAGTAGTGATTTTTTAAAGAGTGTAGATTCAGCATGCAGCCGGAAAGAAGTTCGTTCGAAAGCCGACATCCTGCGATAACCGAACTACAATAGAATTATGCTGCACGATCACTCGTTCTACAACCCTACTTAATTAATCTTTTCGAAACAAGAACGCAAGTCGGAATTTCGGTTGACGTTTCATGAGTTAGTCCGCCTACTGTATAACATAACCGTTCACGATGAAACCGTGTCTCCTAAGACAAAAAAATCAGAGGGCATCAACACAAAGCTTGGGTGAGCTTTAGGCATTCATCAGTGTATGGGAGCAAGGCCCAGGTGCGTGTGTTAAGTCCATTAGAACGTGTTTCCCTGCGAAATCGAAGAAGTGACATGTTAGCGCCTGCGACTCACTGCATTGATGGATGCCTACGGCTCACCCAAGCTATATATAATCAACCTTCTTTGTTTTGATGCCTTCTGATTTTTTCTGTTTTAGGAGAAACGGTTTTATCGTCAACGGTCATATTATATGTTCCACGACTGGCTACCGCGCCTCTAGAGGCGTTCACCGATGTAGTCGTCTTTCACGACCACATATAAGAATTAGCTGGCAAATGCACGAATGTGCAGTGGACAGCAGGGTATGGATAAACCGTCAAGTGGAATAAAATTGCATCAGGGGGTCCGCAACCAGCTGGATACCCCATTCAGACCTATCTTATATCTCAGCAGCCAAAACGGGACATCTGATTTTCCCGGGTTGCTTGTGCCGAAAGAAACAAATCATATATGCGGTGAACAATTTTTGGCAGTGCATTAGAGATAATAAGATGAAGACGTAATGGTCGTTTTGCTGAATCTCGGTAGGAGTACTTCAGGCAACGCAGTGAGCCGTATAATATGCAATATCCTCTAAGAATGATGTAATATTTGGCACCCAGACTAATAAGGGAAGCAGATTAGAAGACCGACTTATATTGGAGATCCGATACAGCCTCCTTGGACCCAAATTAGTTAGAGCACGTACAATACCTCGGCAACGGTTATTCTGGAGTACAGAGCACACAGATTTCCGAGGCACTGCGCTGAAGTTCGAATCATTTCGAAGACGAGTGACCTATGCCCTGCCGACCAGTCGGATCGTTCCACCAGAGGCTGAGTTTTTGCAGCGACCGCTGCTGTAGCTAAGTACCCCTCGGGAGGGTATTCAGAAAACAATGCTTCGATTCAAGAGTTCCGAGGAAATGGGCAGTTGGTCTGATTTCTGAATGAAAAAATCCTTCTGGCTCTGCCGGTCAAATGAAGAACCAAGTTTAGTTTCTGACCTAACAACACACTACCACTGAAATCGGCATAGTGATAGACTGAATCGTCTTCCTTTAAACACCTCACAAGCCGCTCCTTCGGGCCGCCAACTGAATGAACGTCGAGAAAATGGGCGGATTCTACTCCAGCTCTGTAAAGAACTTGATTTATACGTGCACCTGTTCTACAGTTGGAGCATCGCATGAAAGTCGGCTGGATGAGGCTATGTAACGACTTTAGAATTGCAGTTCGTTCATCCACAGACTTCCCGAACCGCCCATACTGAATTACTGACCTTCTTTGCAATTATCATCCGGGTATTGTCGTATAATTGTTCGGGTCTGGTGAAGATTTATCAAAAAATTTCACTGACCGGTCTGTTAAATAAACCGAGCTACAAGGCGTCAGCTGCCGTAAAATCACCATGAAAATAGGCAATGGGTAGAGGTAGGTATCTCATAGAACACATTGCCGTCAGTATTTCTGCCTTTGGTACACCTCAAGATTCGCTTAGATTCAGGAAATTACGAATGAGTTTAGCTAGAAGTGCAAGAAGAGGTTCCGAATCAATTGCATGCTGCAACTATGGTTGGTTTCCACTGGGCAGCGACCGGCGTTTTAGCCGTTTTCTGACATGTCTACGACTTTCCAAAGCGATCTGGTTATTTAAGAGGTCTAAAATCCGAGAATTATCGATTTCCATCTAAGGCTTTTTAAGCATGCACGCTAAAATACCTGTAACCTGCACCTGAGGAGTATTCATGTTAGAGCCCTCAAAGAGCCCTGCTTCAGTTTGTCTGGGTGGAAAACCATCCAAAAACGGGGCTGAGATCAATGCTTGTAGGCAATAAATACGTCCCGTTCATCAGCGTCAACACGAAGATAGCAGGCAAGTTACTGAAGGATTTCAGCGTGGAGACAAACCGTCGCTACGCTTGTCTGAATGGACATACATTCCATACTTGCAAAAATTGAGCTTATCAATTAGGCGCAAAGTGTCGAGTTCTCAACATTCTCACTTCCATAAAAAAAACTGTCATTTCTGAACAACTTGACACTATCCTCGATGTATATGGTGTCACATTTTTGCTCAAGTTCGTTTTTTTGAAAAATGGGCACTTTGATCAATTCACAAGGATGGGGTTGAGGTCGCCTGGAAAGTTTCGTGACTTTGGGCGTACTTCACGAGTTGCGCCACCTGCTATGATAATTCGACCGTCAAAGCAACGTCGACCGCATGCCTCATGGAATGGACACAGCCCATGAATTAAACTACAGTAATCGAGAATTTCGAAATATCTACTCCCCTCCCTCTTGTCGTAACCCCGCTCTGCTTTGATAAAAGTACAATGCCAAGAGACCCAGATGGCGGATGTTATGTCGACGGGAATGCTGTTTGCCCAGTTTTTTTGGTACGTCTTAGTCCTCTTCTTTGATTTACAGTCAAGCAAGAGCATGGGAATGCGATTCATCAAGCTTGTTCACGACTAGTCGAGGAAAGTTCGAGAAAACAAAGTCTCGGGCCCGCACGCAGTAGACACCCATTCTCTGACCACTTCCACAACACACTGGTCTGAGAATCATGGTTACGGCTAAAAAGCAAAAAGCTTCCACGACTCCAGAAGGGTGTGGGTTATCAAAACAGGGCTCACAGCGAGACTGAAGTTACAGAATGGCAAAACTCTCAAGACAAGTTTATTTTCTAAAACAGATGAAGACATGGGCATGTGGACAGAAAGTTCCATCAGGTTAGAT